CTTTTCTTTTTATTTCTTATAAAATATATTTCATATTGCTGCCGTAAAAATTACATTTCACATTTTTATTTTATTTTTATCTTTTTTTTCCCCTTCCTTTTTTTATTTTTTAATTTTTTTTACAATAAAAATAATACTTGGAAGACAGCTGAGAAAAGCTCCAACAAGACAGAAAATACACTTGATACGGCATCGTCCCTGCTCGGCCAGGTGGCCGGTGGCCCCATGGGGGCACGGCCACGGTGACAAGTGTCCCCAGCTCCTTCCCAGCTTCCCCATCACTTGTGACACCTCCACAAAGTCTCCTGCCGATGACAACGTGGGGTCACCCTGCGCTAAACTGACTCACGTTCCCTTTCGGGGTCCCGGCTGGAGAGCGGGGAGCAGCTTCCAATTAATTAGTGCCCAATTAAGAGGTTCCTATATACATACATGTACATGCTCCGGGGGACAGCCGGGTGCGGAGGGGAAAACTCTCTGATTTACAGGTTGGGGTTACCCGCGGCTGGGGTCGAAGAGGAGTTTTTCTTGAGATCAGCAAGACTTAGAAGCATCAAGAGGAGAAGTCCAACGGTTGGGAGGTGGCTGGGAGTTAAAAAAATAATGGAAGAGGGAAATAATAGGGAAAAAACAAAAAAAATTATATATCCAGTGCCAGCCAACCCAATAGACGCCGTGGAAGCCTGCTGTCATTTCTGCCAAAATATGAGAAGGTTTTTCTTTTTTCAAGTGTAAAAATTCCAAAATATTCCCAAACCAGAAGGAAAAAAAAAAAACACAAAAACCAAAAAAAAGACAAAACAACCCACCCTGCACAAGTTTCTCCATTAAAAAAAAAAACCAAAAAAACAAAAAAAACCCCACAACAGAAGAGAGCCACGAGCATAAGGACAATTTTGTCCAGTGAAGTCTGTACCGCAAAAGCCCTCGGAAAAGCAGCTGTAGGCGCCTCCCACCCCTCGATAAAACAACACTGATATCAAATACTCCTACGGGAGATAATCCCCGCCGGGAAGGTAAGTGCTATGCGCTGCAGGAGGAGGAGGAGGA